GCATCCACGGAATCAATGAGATGTCGATGGAGGGAGAAATCGTCAGGAGGCGCAGAATCAAGAGGGAGGAGATCAAAATATTTGGCCCACGAAGCGGGACCAAACAAGGCTTGATAGGTAGCAGAACTGGAAGGAATCGAGCGAGGGCGGCCGTGACGAGGACGGCGGTGAGAACCCCCAGAGAGAGAGGGGTTAAAAGGTGCAGTAGTTACAACCAGAGAAGGAGCCGCGCCAGGGGACGAGGTAGTCACCACTGGGGGCTTGGGGCTCGACCCAACCACAGAGGAGGGAGGGGAGCCAGAGGAAGGAGTCAGAGAGGCCAAAGGAGGAGCAAGGTCGGGGCCCAATGCAGCGGAGGCTACAGAGCCCGGTCTTCCAATACGGACCGACTCGGGGGCTTGGTCGCCCACCCCACGAGCCTGAGAAGGTAAACCAGAAGAAGCCGAAGTAGGGGTTGTCATCGTGACGAAAAGAAGAATTCACTCACGAATGTGCCCCCACACCCACCACGGAGCCACAATTAGAGGCAGGACACCCAACAAGAAGCTATCGCCGATCTTGTCGGGGCCTCCTAGGGGTGCGTCGTGAGTATACGCCCCACAAACGCCACCTTAAGAAACCGACAGTCCGTCGAGATCGGGTTCAGTGACGAAGTGGGGATTGACAAACACTTATGCAAGCACTTACGAACGTGTACATCTTTCCTCAATCTTTAACGGCTTTGGTTACATTTATTAAACAGTTTACAAGCATGAAAACTTCCCATTCAACTGTTGTTATTGTTATAAACATCCTCCTGGTGCTTCGGAGCTCATTAACTATTTAATAATTGGAAACAAAGCCGCCAAAGATTGAGGAAAAGATGTACAGGTTCATAAGTGCTTGCGTAAGTGCTTTTGTGAATCTGGCCCCTGGAGTCCTTGCCTAAGCTTCCTTTAGCAGTCAGCCTAAAGGCCCTGGAAACTGCCATTGGGGGTCATTGGTCTGATGGAGGAGAAGTCCCACCTCACTTCGTGCGAGTTTGAAAGGTTGCTGTCTCCTTGTCTCAGGGTGACATTCACCATCTTTGCCTCATCCATGTTGCCTGTTAAATCGATGACACCTTTGACCCGAAGTCTTGCGAGTCGTGTTCCTTGCATTCTCTCCAGTTCACCCAGTCCACTTTTACTGGTATTCAGGTGCAGGCTGTTTCTGCGTTGCATGCAAGGTTTAGGCTGCTGCAACATGCTTGGTTGGTTGCCTTTCCGGATGCCCCGCAGCTGCCCCATTTGGGTTATAGGGACCCAGTCTTAGGGTTGTAAGAGTCGTGCCAGGGCTCAGGATTCTTTTGGTCATCGTAAGCCTGTAGTACCAGATTCAGGGCCAGTCCCTCCTGTGGAGCCGTCGGCATAAGGTTGATGCAGTGATCGTTCTGAGCATCAGTCGGGCTCTTGTAAGGGTTGTCGGCTCTGCTTGCTCTTGCCTGGTCCCACGATTCGTGGGCGTTTCTGGTTGTTTCCTCTGACCTGTGGTGGCATTGGGTGGCTCCTCCTCCTTCAGGGGGATCAGGGTTGGCAGGGCAGGCCTCTTTTCCTATGCTTTGTTGGGTCATCCTGGACTGGGTTTGCTTAGCTGTGGTTGAAGGTGTCCCTCCGGTGGGTTGGAACGTCCTGATTCATCCGGGGTTCAGCGACTGGCTCGGTTTTGTCGTGGGGCGACAGGCTTACCGCTTTCATTGCCTTCCATTTGGCTTGAATCTGGCACCTCACATGTTCACACACTTTGCACCTGTTATGGGTTCGGTTCTGGCTTACCTTGAATACTGGCTGGTCTGGGCTTCCAGCCGATCCGCGTGTCTGCTCCCAGAGATCTGATTCTATCCCAGCTCGACGGGTTCAGGTTCTTGGTGAACTGGAGGAAGTTCCATTTGGTTCTCTCGCAGGTTCAGACGTGACTGGGGTCTTATGTGAGACTCTCGGACCGTTTCCGTGTCTTTCCCTCCAACGGCATTGTTGAGGCTGCAGTCCTGCCTTTGGCTGTTTTTGGAGGTCACCCAGGTCGCTCGTTGGTTGTTCGAGCAGCTGTGTGGGAGTCTGAACTTCGCCGTGCTGGTCTACCCGTCAGATCGGATCTGACATCAGCGGCTGTCTGGTTCCTTCGGAGACATCCCTTTCGCTGTTCTTGCGATAGCTGAGATCGGACCCCAGGGGGTCGTGAGTCGGCTGCTGCATCTTCGGCTTCCTCTTTGGGTTTTTCAGGGTTCAGTGCCGTGGCACCTACCCAAGCCTTCGCTCGATATGTTCACAGATGTGTCGTCTCTTGGCTGGGGTTTTGTGACCAGTGTTCACCAGGTCGATGGGGTCCTTCCTTTCATGGTGGTCTCACAGCACAGTGCGGGAGTTTGCAGCAGTGTCGTTTTTGCTTTGGAGGGTTCATGTCACTCGCAGAGCAATGATTCTGCTCCATTCGGACTGCTCCTTGGTGGTTCATTGCCTGAACTGAGGGGTTCGATGCAGTCCTTAGCTCTTTGGGGCTGGTCAGTTCGGGTGACTCATCTGCCGAGTTCTCAGGATTTGGCTTTCCTGGCAGTTCATATTCAGGGGGTGTGTCCAATGTCTTGGCGGACAGCCTGTCTCAATTCATTCCTCTGTCCACGGAATGGACGGTCAACGCCACCTCGTTCCGTTGCCTATGCCAGATGTTCGGGCGCCCGGAAGTACACATCTTTGCATTAGCTTGGTCGAGGCATCTTCCGGAATATGCAGCGCCCTTCCCAGACTGCGAGACCATCGGGGTCGATGCCTTTCAGCTGGACTGGTCGAGATGGGGTTAACTGTACCTCTTCCCCTTCGGTTGTTGCTCCAGGTGCTGGCTCACTTGGAGACTTACCAGGGGAGAGTAGTACTGTTGGCCCCTTGGTGGCTGGCCCCAGTCTTGGTTTCAGGCGCTGTTTGCTCGGTGTCGGTACCCGAGGGTCTTCCCACAGCTCTGCCTCTTTTCAGCAGATCGGTCCGGTCTGGTACGTGGCTGGTTCGATCTCCTCCGTTCTTTGCATCTGGTCTTTTTGATGCGGGTTTATCACCACTTGCACATTGATCAGGTGGCTTTGTTCATGGTGTCTCGCATGCGAGTTTCGTTTTAGAGGCAGTGTGAAGTTTCCTGGCGGTCCTTTCGGCATTTCTTGACTCTTCGTAGGTTGTCTTCGATTTCTGCTCGGGTTATTTTGTCCTCTCTCTTGGTTGTTTCAGGACCGTCATCTCATGCAGAATACTGTCACCTTGTATCGTACAGCACTGGTGGAGCCTCTTTAGCTTGCGTTCAGGGTGGATGTCACTTCTGCTCCATTCTATAAGCTCTCTCGGGCATTGTTTCACCTCCGGCTTGCTCATGCACCGCCTGAGCAGTCCTGGTCGTTGGACCGAGTGCTCTCATTTCTTTCTTCTCCTGTGGTAGCCCCTTCAGTTCAGGACTGTTTTTCTAAGGCTCTTTCTTGCTGGCATTGGCCTCTGGGGGTCGGGGACCTTCATGCTCTCCTCCAGTGCAGGGGTTTCTGCTCTTTCAGTCCTGGTGATTGTTTTGTTCGTTTGCAGCCGTCGTCTTCTTTTCTGACAAAGAATGAGACTGCTGCTTTCTGGAGGAGTCCTTGGGTTGTTGATGCTTGGTTCGGCCAGGGGTACATCACGTCCGGTTGCGGCTCTTCGCCGTTCCTTGCATGCCACGGCCTTCGTGGCAGGGAACATGTTTTGGGTTGACTTGGTTTTCCTTCTTCCCTGTTACAGGGCGCAGGTCTCCCAGGTCGTCTGCAGGATTATTCGGTCCAGCCAGCCTGAGATCTATCCCCATACCCACGACGTTCGTAACTTTGAATCTTTGGATGCTGTTTTTGGTTATATGTCCTGGGGTGACATTCAGGCATGAGGCTTTTGGAGGTCAAACAGGGTCCTTGCTGCACAATACCTCGTTAATGTTTCTGGAGTTTTTTCACCATTTATTTTCGCGTTTTTAATATTCAGCCTCTGAACTGGGGTTGGGTAGCTGGCACGGGAGGTCTGGGCCCCCCCTTCCTTCCAGAGAAGGAGGGAGTTGCACAGACAGCGGCGCAGTGGTTGTGGTGACATGCTGGTTTGCTTGTTTTCTGATTGAGTTCTGTTGGCTCGTTCGGCTTTCGGTTAGCAATTTTTCCACCAGCTTTAGTTTGTTTCGGGATTCCTACCTTTCTGGGTAACTGACCTGGTAGATGGCAGATATAGATTGCTTCCAACTGCACGGGGGGGAATCTATAGGCCATTGCTCCTCTTGCCACTTCGAGGAGGGCCAGGTTCTGGCGCTGGTCCCCGGTAAGCTTAGAACTGCATCGATTGACTGTTGCCACATTCTAATATATACATATCAGCCCTGTATAGCCCAGGACTTGCCCAGAAAATGTTTCATTACATCCAACACTGGTTTTCTCTGGAGAGTCAACTCGTATGTAAAACCAACAAGTATGTAAATCAAGCTGGTTTTATAGTCCAGGTATTATGTGTTCTTACATTTTGCATACAAATTAATAATTCAATGATAAATTATTTTTGGATTTGTCATTTCATTTTTTTTTTTTTACACCTGCAGGGCTTGTAGGTGGTTATGACCATTTCTCAATAGTTACTGTCAAAGTGTTCAGTAACAAAAGCATAGACTGAATGCCTGCTGTCGTAGCAGGTACAGATATCAGAGAAATGAGCATGTAGTAACACTGAAAGGCTGAAATTAATGTTCATCTACAAGAGATAATCTTTGAAAGATTAGTGTGTAGCTTAAACAGGAGTTATTAGGTAAGTAAATATAACTGCAGAACATACGTGGCTCCTGAAAATAACTATTCATAGAAAAAAAGGCATTTTTTTTTACCTACTCATGTTTGTTTTTAACACCATTTGTTGTTCATTGGGTGTATTATCAAAGATATTTTGTCTTACATTATGCACTTTTATATGTTCTTACAAACCCCATGTTCAACAAAGGAAATATTAAAGCAACAATTTAAATTCTAATTTATTTCACATTTATAGAAAATATATAAAACTATATACAAAGATTTGTACATTCACTTTACAAAATCAAATTATTTGGTAAAAAATACAAAAAAGGGCATTCTTAAGTTGAGAAGAACTGAATAGAACTACTGCAATACTTAAAGTATAGTTGCACAACAGTAAGCTATGTCAACGAAGTCATCCCATCTATGCTGTTTTCTTGCAAGGAATGTATTTGCAGAGAAACAGATTTTATACAATTTAGTTTGATTTTAATAATTTACTGACTAATTAGTCATTCTGTATGGTATGTTAAATTCTATTCAGTCACATACAAAAAAATATAAATATATATATATAAATATATATATATATATATATATATTTTTTACATAATTAATATACACAACTCAACAAATGCATATCAGTGATACTTTTGGCACTCTAAAACAATGAAACATCAAAAGAATGTTCAGTATAAAAAAAATAATTATACTACAATCCAGAACAGAAATACATACATATAGGGAGATCTTTCGTATACATTACAGTTCTAGCATTTTGAATGCACACAAGTAAGTTTGTACATTTTGACAAGAAACCTAATGGCATATTTGTCCATAAATGGTGTTTGACTGCAGCATTTTTGCCATTTCTTTCTCACTAATAGTGCCAAAAATAAAAAATAAAAAATGAACGTCTTAAATTGCACCAGACGCCCAAACACTAGCTTTGGAACTTATAAAGTGCCGTATCACTCTTAACAATTACCTGGGCATATTGAGTGTCTTTGCAGGGCCAAGGGAAAGAACATCACTAACACCCCATTGCTGTAATGTCATATGACCATTTCTTAGGTTTTCCAGAGTTAATATAGGGACACCAACCACACCACCAGCACCGCGGTTTTGAAGGTTTGTCAGTGGAAGGAATGAACGGATTCCAAGGGCTGCCATACGTTGCACATTAACAGGATTACGCAGGTCTACTAAAGGAATAGCCACATCTCCAGCAGAAAGATGTAACTGGTGAAACTGTTGATAATGGTGTTGCTGACCCTTTTGTGTAGAAAACCCTGCAGTACATAAGTGGCATTTGAAAGGCATACGAGATTGTTGCTGTTGTTGATGCACACGACTATGTTCTGATAGTAATGCTGCTGTTGGAAAAGACCGGTCACACTGGTGGCATTTATGACGAGTGCCCTGAGTACCTGAAGAGGGAATATCCTGAGTTAAATCTACAGTAGGGGGACGAGGAGGACGTTCAACAGTACTATTTGACATAGTTCCTCGAGTTGGAGGTGCCTGTGGTACAGCAAATCCATCTCTATCTCGTTCTCTTCCACCCCCTTCTCGTTCTCTTTGGGTTGGTGGATGTACAGATATGGCTGATGATAAGTTCAATTCTTGTGCTGTAGGTAAGCGGCGATCATCTCTTCCCCCAGTACCATCCTGTCGTTCACCAGCAGCTGGTGTAACGGTAATACCTCGAGATGCCAGAAGATTAGCAACAGCCCCAGCTTCTGGGCCACTTCTTTCACCACGTGATGCATCTTTGCCACCAGATGCCCGCACACTCAGTGTAATGGAATCACTGAGGTTTATAGTCGACTCTGTGGTTGCTGGGGCACCTGAGCCACGGTGCTGGCTACCAGGAGCAGTTGAACCACCCTGCACATTGGATATCACTGGTAGTCCATCACTGCGGTTTGCTACTGCAATGATCTGACATTCGTTATCCTTCTGACGGGATGGCACATTGATATCCTCTCGACGGGCAGTTTTGCTTGGAGAGTGACCAGCTGCACCCAAAAGCTGTCTTTTACCAGCACCACTCTGTTGTTGAGGGGAAGGTTGTCTTTGACCTGGGTACATAGTTTGATGCATACGCTGTAGAGGAGGCATCATACCACCACGCCCCCCTGGTGCTGGCATAAGTGGCGGTGGAAGTATTGATGATGTTGGGGGACGGCCAGGACCACGAGAGGGCTGCAAATGGGCTGCTTGATGAAGAGGTGGACGACCTACATGACCCATAAGTGGTGGTCTTCCTCTTACTCGTGGAGGAGGACTAGGTCGATATGGCATTGCAACACTTGGGGGCAAAGGGGCGCGCAAAGGACCTGCTAAATTCGTGTTTGCCATACTAGTACCTGCAAGAGCTCCATAACCCCCAGCACCACTGTATGCAGCACCCTGTGACCACTGAGTACCATACCTATTCATCATACCCCCAACAGCAGCCTGACTGGCAGTTGTTGTTGCCATCATGTGAGCACTAGTTGCTGGAGCCATGAGATTGTTAGCTATTGTAAGCCGAGGTACTCCAGCCTGCTGTTGGTCACCACTTTGTGGAGAAAGCTCCTGTGATTGAAGTGGTGATGTAGCAGGTGGAGTTGGACCTTTGTGGAGTGATGGTGAAGTTGACTGCTGGGTTGGGCTGGTAATGGGACTAGTCGCTAATGCTCTAAAAGATGTATCAGAAGGTGGCGGTGTTGGTTGTCCACCAGAAGAAGTGGGTGTGCCCGAGTTGGAGCCCCGAGAGCTAAGGTGAGAAGGAGTAGCAGGCCCTGCACTATGAGGAGAAGGGCCTCCACTATGTGGTGACCCATCCACCTGACCAGACTGTGATCCCTGCTGTGAGCCTGGCTGAGAGTCCGGTTGTGAATCTTGTGAAGACTGACCACTATTATTCAAATATTCCAATTCAGATAATAGGTCACTTGCTACGCCAGAAGCTTGCTGCTGCTGTTCCGCTGGTGGTGAAAGCTGCGGTTGATCTTGCTGTTGCTCTTGTGATTGCTCTTCATTGCTATCTTGACTCTGGCCACTGTAAGAATCATTAAGACACAGCTGTTCAAAGCTACCCTGGCGGTCATTCTTTTCTGGGGATTCCTGGCCCAACACTGCCTGACTAAACAAGCCATCTTCCCCATCGCCCTCGCTCTCGCCACCATTAACAGGTATATCAGAAGAATCCTTTTCAGGAGGAGTGTTAGCTGAAGAGTAAGCAGGGTCAGCTGTTCCCTCTGTTCCACCTGCCCAAGCACTGCTCTCACTTGCAGTTTCTGCAGTTGTTGCTCCTGCCATTGCAGCAGCTATCCTCGATCCGGATTCGTATTCACTGAACCAATCACTGGTTGGGAATGACTCAAACTGAGGTTGGTAAGTTGAAGATGGGGCTTCACTTGGTCCAGCGTTACCAAATCCAAGATCTTGCTCACCAAAGTTGGAGTTGAACCCAGTATTGCTATTTTCACTTTGTTCACCACTGCCAGAAGCTTGCTGGTAATCTCCCTCTGTCTCTTTTTGTTGTGATGTACCAGCTTCCTCCTCTTGATCTTGGTCCTGGTCTTGATCTTGGTCCTGGTCTTGATCTTGGTCCTCTTGGTCTTGGTCTTGCTGTTCAGAAATGTCTTGCTGAGAATCCTGCTCCTCCTGCTCGTAATCCTGCTCTCTGCCAGCATCCAAGTCGTCATGCCCAGGTGATAAATTTTGTTCTACGTCTTGTTCTGTATCCCTGGGCTCTGAGGGCAATCCACTGGCTTCCTGTTCTCCTTCACTCTCGCCTCCACTTTCTTCTTTCTCCTCTGGTACACTAACCTCTTCTGTACCATCCACCTGTTCCTGCCTTTGAGGTTCAGCTTCCAGTCCGTCTTGTTCCTGAAAACTGTTATGGTTGTCACTCATGCCCTCTTCGCTGACAATTTGCACTTCTCTTCGCTTACGACCACGACCACGACCCACTTTGGAAATTTTGAGCTTCAGCTTGATATTTGACCGACCCCTTTTTCTACGAATAACTACCTTCGCCTTCTTCAGTTCTTTTGCAGTTAGACGTTTTAGTCGCACCTTTAAGATTCTCTGGTTAACGTGGCCCAAATGATGGGCCTCAAAATCTCTTTCACTGGAAAACTGATTTATCCTACAATGAACACACCATAAATCTACCTTTTGCACCTCACTATGAGATTCTTCCTCCTTGAAGACAAATTTAGATCCTTCTTGCTTCTGGAATTGTACTGCTCCAGTTTGATACTGAGGTACTACTGCTGTTGTATGTCCAGTAACTGGATGTGAAGTTCTTAGTGAGGCAACTGGTTCACCTACCACATGGCAAGTGTTGATGTGGTGGGCAAGGAGTGTTTGACTAGGAAAAACAGCTGGACATAAACGGCAAGAGTAGGTGAGCGCATGTACATGGAAGAGTGCCAGGTGGTCACGGAGGAGTGCCACATCCTGGAATGCTGCTCCGCACTCCCAGCATTGGCTGCTTTCCCCAGCTTGTTGTTGTGCACCTACAGCGTACTGCTGCTGATGCTCAGGAGCTGTGTATGAAGTCTGACTAAAATATTGTTGATGATGTGGATAGTATGTCTGCTGCTGGTGATATACTTGCTGGTTGTAGTATGACTCTTGGTGGTACTGATACTGCTGATACTGGTATTGTGGGTAGTAATTCTGCTGGTACTGCCCACTCAATGCATATGACCAATGATTCACTGCACCGTTCCTTGTGAGATCACCTGAAGAAAAAAATTATAAGTTATAAAATTGACAATCTAACTACAAAAATTAGGTACATTGTACGGTATATAGTTCTCCAATATCTGTGCTTGCTATTACTGTACAGGTAATGTGGGATCTGCTAAATCACGGTGTATACATATCAATATAGACTGATTTATCGTAAGAATATTTGGATCCTACTTTATATACACTAAACTAGTGTTCAAGGGTCAGTGACTGAAGGGGACATGGCAAGGATCAGTGACTGAAGGGACCATGGCAAGGGTCAGTGATTGAAAGGGACCATGGCAAGGGTCAGTGACTGAAAGGGACCATGGCAAGGGTCAGTGACAAAGGGACCATGGCAAGGGTCAGTGACTGAAAGGGACATGGCAGGGGTCAGTGACTGAAAGGGACCATGGCAAGGGTCAGTGACAAAGGGACCATGGCAAGGGTCAGTGACTGAAAGGGACCATGGCAGGGGTCAGTGACTGAAAGGGAGCATGGCAAGGGTCAGTGACCAGGTTTTCAAAAGTTATTATTTATGAATAAGAAGTCATGTATTTGATGACCTCAATAAAAACTTTGAATAAACAGTTACTGCAAAATTAATATGCTGATTTATTGTATTTATAAAATATTATTTATACAAAAATTTTTACACATATCTATAAAGGAGAATACAACCTAAAGCAATACTGGTGAATACAACTAGGCAAGTACTAGATAAAGAACCACACGAGATTAACCACCACACTGTGCACCTGGTTTCGGCAAAATCTTCATAGTACAATTAAGGATATTTTTGTTGTTTTTATAAATGTTCAGGTAAGGTTAATGTCAAAATGTTTCCAAACTGAACCATTTTCATTTCAAAACACAAAGTGATGAAAACGTCAAAAAAAAGTTAAACCTAAATAATAAAAAAATAGCACAACTCTGAGTGCCTCAAGGCACTTTGTGATGCACGGTGGATAAGAATACAACACCTCGGACCTAGTAAAGCAAAGATGGCAGAAACTCCGATATCGCTGGGAGGAAACCATTATACTTATATTTAATATACTAATATTTAATCAAACATACATGGAACTTTATGCTTAGGAAAGATAACATATATATGTATATATTTTTACAGTTGTCTGGACAATCAGAGCCTTGAACTGCCAACCACAAACAGTACCCAGCAGCTCTGGCTACTGTTTTATGTGGTTGGCAGTTCAAGGCTGAGATTGTCCAAGTGAATTAAATGTTTTTATCTACGATATAGTGGTCTACAATGAGGCATATTATATATTATATATATATATATATATATTTATATATATATATATATAGATAGTATATATATATATATATATATATATATATATATATATAATGCGAACAAGCCCGAATGGGTCCCCAGGACTATATGCAACTGAAAACTCACACCCCAGAAGTGAATCAAACCCATACTGCCAGGAGCAATGCAACTGGTATGTACATGCGCCTTAAACCACTTGACCATCACGACCGACATAAGGAAGTGATAGCCAAAGCTATTTGAACCACTTCCCCCGTCGGCACTCGAATGGTAATCTTGGGCATAGCATTTTATCAAATCACCTCATTCTTTGGGCACACATGTGCCCCCCAAATATTTATAATATTTATATATATATATATATATATATATATATATATATATATGCAACAATGATCACAAAAACACTGATCCAAGTATGCAGAATAACCACATATGAAAAATAGAAAATGCTTAACGCGTTTTCAGCTAATTCGCCTTCATCAGAGCAAAGTAGAATGAGGATAAGATTGCTGATCAGACCTATATATCCGCCTGGGCAGATCACCTGACCACCAAAATAAGTGGAGGAAAGGAATTATAAGAAAGAAGGTAACTGCAGAAGGCCTATTGGCCCATACAAGGCAGCTCCTATAATATCTCCAAGTGCCATACGTGTTTAAATGATTGCTATATTGTTTGACGTGCTATATTGGAGGCTTAAATAGGGATCCAACTTGTACATACCGGGGCTCACATTAAGGCTGTTGTTACAATGTTTGATCAGAGCAGACTCGATCAGTTTCGTTCAACAAAACCTTACTTTTAACAATACATTTTGCCCCTGTGAAGTCGATAGAATGATTACATAAACTGGAATGTAATACAATGCACTGGATTGCTGGGCTGTACGAATAGCGTATGAATGCTGTTTTAAAACGCGAGGAAAGAGTTTTACCTGTCTGGCCGATGTAAACACATGCACACTCATTACAGGGATGGAATACACACAACCTCTACAGACGAGGCGAGTTCTTAATTAACATGGACTTAACTGTATTATCATTTTTTGAACACTAGATTAATATTAAGGTTCTTCAGGGCTGGGGCAAGATTTACTAGACCCTCAGAATATGGTAATACCAACGATTTTTCAGTTCTGGTTTCGACTTAGTAGTCTGTTTGTAGAAAGTCCTTTTTGGCTTCACCAACGCAAGATCCAAGATCGATTTTGGGTATTTTAACTTCTTCCCAATTTCAATATATTTGCTATTTCTTCATCGAAAAATTCCGGACTACAAACTCTCAGTGCTCTGAGAAACATACCAGAAAAAACTGCCCGCTTGACCTGAACATGATGATTGAAAATAGAAATGTACATACGAGCACACATTGGTAGGTTTCCTATACACATTGAATTTGAAACTTCTACCAATTCTATGAATCATGATGTCTAAAAAAGGCAGCAACACCATTCACTTCGTTCTCAATTGTGAATTTAATTGACGGAACCAGCGAATTGATTTGATTGAGAAAATCAGTTTCGTCATGATTAATCGGCCACAGCACAAATATCGTCAACGTACCTGTACCAAAGCAAATTTGAGGGTAAAATCCTGGGAAGGATATTTGTTTCGAAACATTCCATGTACAGATTGCTCAAAACAGGGGAGAGGGGATTACCCATCGCCATGCCAAATGTTTGTTTATAAATGAATCATTAAAGCTGAAATAATTATCTTTATGCACAATTTTATAAGTTCAATAATGGTGTTAGTAGGCAAAGTTAAATTATACCTTGGGAGTAGATCCCGTAAGAATGACAACAGATCATCAACAGGAACCCTAGTGAACAGAGCCGTCACATCAAACTCACAAGTTTAAATCATAATTTAATTTCAAACTAGACAACTGTTAACCAAGTCCAAGTTGTTTGTTATGTGTGAGTTGGAAATGGAACCTACTACTGGAGACAAGACTTGGACAAGCCATTTGGAAAGTCTCTATGCCACAGATCCAACAGAACTAATAATAGGTCTTGCAGGATTATTCGGTTTGTGTGTTTTAATAAGCCATATAGATATGGAGAGAAGGGGAACGACTTAAAAACTTAGGAATCAACTCCTTATCTTTCTTGAGCACGGTTTTAAGAGTTTTGTTGAAATGAGCAATACTCTTTCAATAGGGTCACTATTAACAGGTAAGTAAGTGTCTCTGTCCTCCAATAACTGTTCATTTTTTGGACATAGTCTTCTTTGTCCATGATGACAACAGCATTGGATTTATCAGCTTTAGTGATATGTAGAGAGTTATCTTTTTGAGGTTTTTGAACGCTCGCATAAACCTCTCTGGACAATTAGGCACAGTACCCTTAAGTAAAACAATTTTTTTTTGTTTTAACAAAACAGTAAAACTTATTTTTGGTGGGCAGGTGATCTGCCCAGGCGGATATAAAGGTCTGATCAGCAATCTTATCCTCATTCTACTTTGCTCTGATGAAGGCGAATAGCCGAAAACCGCGTTAAGCATTTCTATTTTTCATATGTGGTTATTCGGCATATATATATATTATATATATATTATATATATATATATTACTGCCAGTCAATATTATTATGCTAACAACAAGAACAGGTACTGTACATGCCTACTTAGGTCTGTGCCAAATACAGTATCTTAACATGAACAGCATCCTTGTTAACCCAGGCCTTAACCCTTAAACCGCTAACTGTTAGATAACAAACATCCCCAGGGCGCTGAAGAAAAAAATTGCTCTAAAAAAATAATTTTTTCTTGTGACATTGTTAATTAGCCGTCAGGAAGCACAAAAATCCAAATAAAAAGTCTCTGGCTCTTGTGGTTTAGCTGTAGTGGCCTGGAGAAGTTGCATATTTTTAGTTGAGGTGCCGCAAAGGAATAACTTTGTTGATTTATTTTCATCGTTTCTCAATTTATTAATTTAGTCTTTTCATGCTAACAGGTTGTATTTGTGTGTCAAAGTTACTGTCTATTATGTAAAACTTTGAAAATATAGGTATGTATGGATATACAAGTAAAGATATAAAGTCACCCACATACTTATTCATAATAATACATGTATAAATATGTTTTAAGCCTAAATCTTAAAATTGCATATATAAGCACACATTTTGCCTCAAATATATACATGGTAATCACTCATTTTCTGTTGCTAAAAGTTTAGTGTCTCCTCTATGGCTGCCCTAAACATTCAGATACTGGATGGTAATGTTTCTAAGCAATGGTCATTTTCTTACAAAGGCCCTAGAAGGAAAGTGAGGGACTCAGGATTTTTTTTTCAAGATGGGGGATGGTTACTGGTGCAACCCATTCTCGCACTTGCTTCAATCAATATTGGCTTATTTAATAAGTGCATATGTGACATACTAATTGATTGTGAATATTTTAGTTTACCTTGAAAAGCTTCATAGAAAACACCCACCTCACCTAACCTTCTTTGTATGTTAAGCATCTTATTGCATCTTAATTACAATTATTACTTAACCTATACCGTTGAAAGGTTAAGTAATAATTGTAAATAAGAAGCAATAAGATGCTTATCTTAACATACTAAGAAGGTTAGGTGAGGTCGGTGTTTTCTATGAAGCTTTTCAAGGTAAACTAAAATATTCACAATCAATTAGTATGTCACATATGCACTTATTAAATAAGCCAATATTGACTGAAGCAAGTGCGAGAACGGGTTGACTGGTG